TGGCTTCGGCATCGGACCGTGACCTCGTCCTTTCCCCCCAGGGGCTGGCAGGGCGGCGCATGGCCATGCGACACACAGCATGGCCAGGCAAGGTAAGGCTCAGCACAGCATGAATGATGGTCGTGGGTTCTCCTTATCCTCCTCATCCTCCTTCTCAGGTTCATTAGACCCTTCCCCCAATTCCCCGAAGACAAAGTGGGGTTGGCAAAGCAACGCATGGCCAGGCGACGCAACGCAATTCAGCGCGGAACAGGGCAAGGCACGGCGCAGTTCTGCTTCCCGTCATCATGTTCATCTCTTCACCTCTTCATCTTCCAAGCCAAAGTGGCGGTGGCATGCCAGAGTGCTGCATGCTTGGTGACAGGGCGGGACATCTTGGCTGTAGCTGTACCACCTATTCTGGATTCTCGTGTTCGAGAGTCGACTAGAGAAGAGAGCGCAAGAAATGGAGTGAAGGAACCAATGAAGGGTGGGACGGCGGATGGCTGGTGCCACAATGTCGCGTGGGGGAGAGCGCTTCGGAGGAGCGGAGATGGGAGTGGAAGGGGGAGCGGAGCAGGCGACATGGCAGCGAGAGAGAGAGAGAGAGCGAAAGCGAGAGAGAGAGAGAGAGACCATCAGCGAGCTCACCGCGAGCCCGCCCCCCCCTGCGAAGAGGGCACGGGCAGGCGCCGCTGGACCAGCGCCGCAGGCGCACCACGTTCTCAGGCGGGGCCCACGGTCGCCCCCCGACGCTGCCGAACGCGCGCGCGCGGGGCCGCGCGCGCCCTGGCCGGGCCCCCCTCGCCCAGGCACCGCTCGGCGCACCGAGCGCTGAGGAAGTTCCTGGCCCTCCATCGGGGGCGGCAAAGATGGGAGTGGTGATGACCAGGGGGGGGGAGAAACCGTGGCGCGTGGGCCATGAGGTTTCCCCGGATGTCGTGGCTCCTCTTCGTGTTTCGATGCGCTCCTGCCCCCCTCCCCCCCCCCCTGGGCCACGCACATGCCGCCGGCCATGTTTTCCGCCCCCCCTCTTGGACGCCCCCCTCTTGGCCGCCCCCGATTCTAGGCAGACCTGATCCAGGGGGATGGGCACAGGTGGGGTGCGCATCGACCCCCAATCGCCCACTCATCGCCGATAGGGGTCTGATACCCCCATCCCGCCCAGCGGCGTGGGGATTTGCTCTCGGGGGCCTAGCGCGGATCTATCGGCGATGTATCGCCGATTCCAGGTCGATGTTTCCCCCCTACGGTCCCGCTTATAATCAAGAAACCTCCATTCGAAAAGCTGGCCCATTGTTCCTTAACCAACTTGCCGGAAAGCTGGCTCAGTGTCTTTAAGGGGATCTGGTAGCCCTGAACCTTGAAAATGAATCATGTACGTGACTGGCTCCAAAAGCTGGCCCAGCATTTCCTTAAAAGAACTTCTGAATAGCTGGCCCAGGTTTCTTAAGTGATAATGTTATAATCATATGTTTGACTGTATGCCTGTCCCCCCATATCGTTGCCCCCCACTGCTCGGCAGCTGCCTCGATCGGGTGAGCCTCGCGGTGCGCGGTGGCTACACCAGGTGCCACATCTCTACTTTCCGAGGGGCATCTCAGCTGGGTTTGCGAGCGTCGGCAGCGGAGCCCAACTGCCGCGCCGCGACGACGACGATCTGCGTCGACAGCAGCGGCGACGACGACGGCGGCCGCAGAATTGACCCCGCGCCTCTCCCTGGGGCGCGGTCCCGCCAGGATCTCGAGGCCCCTGCTTCACCCCCCCACTTGTTTCTCTGTCCATATCTCGGTCTTCGGGCGGCCGTTCGGGATGATTCGAAAACATACTGCGAAGGCCTTGCGGCCTGTGCCGCCGACCCTGAAGGCGGGACCTCTCCCAGTACCCCCGCTGGCGACCCCCCCCCCCAGAACCCGCAAGGACCCCGGAAGCGGCGGCATTCTGACCCGGGACCCTCCCCCCCAAAACCCCCGCCACTCCTTTTTCCCCACCCCGCCCACCCCCGGCAGGGAAGGGATATAAAGGGAAGGGGCCTCCCCTCGACTTAGCCACGACGGTCGTTACCCGTGTTCCCCAATCTCCTTGGGGCCGTCGACGAGGGACGACGGCGTCTTCCACACGCCGACGGGGCGGCTCGAGGCCCATGCTGCATCCTACCCGTTGCTTCTCCGTCTTGTTCTCTTTCCATGACCTGGTCGCCAGGCGGGCCTTCGGGTCGATTCGAAAGTCCTCGGCGAAGCGAACGGGGAATACCTCGAGCCGAGGACTTCGAAAGGCATTTCAAGATCCCCGAAACCCTCTTCGTGCTGCGCGCCACCGCCGTCGCCGTGCTGTCGTTCCTTGTGGTCGTCGTGCTCGCTGCCGCCGTCGCCGTTCCCGTGGCCCTCGTGCTCGTCGCCGCCGCCAGCGGGGCCACCGGCCGCGGAGCTCTTTGCGCAAGGCGCGGTCGTCGTCCCCAGACACCCGACGTCACATTTTTTGCTCAACGGCGGCCCCCGGAGGTCCGGACCCCTTCCCCTGGACCGGTTTTTCGTCCTGAGTCGTTTTTGACGGTCCCGAGGCCCGGTAAGGGCCCCCGGAGGCCGAAAATGATGAAAAATTGTCCGTCGTGATTTTTTCATGTCTCGAGGGGGTCTGGGTCGTCGTCGTCGTCGTCGCCAATTGTCGCCGGCTGCTGGCGGCGTCGGTCCGGGCCTCGCCGGCGCGCGCTGCGGCGCGCAAGGCGCCGGCGCGCCCACGGCCCGCGGCAGCCCGCCCACAGCGCGCACCGCCTCGGGGCTGCGCGTGTAACGAGGCGCCCGCCGCCGCGGCGACGACGACGATGACGACGACGACGACGACGACGGCGACGACGCCGACGACGACAATGACGGCGACGGCGACAACGACGACGACGACCGAAGTCGTCCTCGGCATCGACGTTCGCGGTCGATGGCGTCGTCGTCGGCAGTGTCGTCGGCAGGCGAGTAAACACAGAATGTATCAACGATGTTTCGAGGGAACTTCCCGTCCTAAGTCCTAAGACCCATCCCCACCAGTCTCGACAAGGTTTCTTCTCCAGCGCGGGAAGCGCACCCTTGAAAGACGATTGCCCCACGGATCTGTCATGCGGGCGAGCACCCCGCATGGGAAAGCTACAGTTTTGCATCCGTGCAGCTATGGATCATAAGGTTCAAGGAAGTGTCTCAGCGAGAGCCTCGTTGTGAAAAACATCCTCCCTCCATCCGGGTAGCTGTTGCACAAGTTCTATCTATCTTGTCACATCTGTTCGAGGCAATTTCAAGCGAGAGCCCAAGTCTGAACAGGCGCCGCCCTCCATCCGAATATAGCCATGTTTACGAATATGGCCATACTTCTCGAGGAAGTCACAAGCGAGATGCCCCCCCTTCGAAAAGGAACCGCCATCCATCCTCCTAACCGTTGGAAGCTTTTCAGACGAATGCGTCGGCGTTCAGGCGAGACCCAGATGTTAAAAATGACCCGCCCTCCATGCAAGTTGCTCCCCAATCAGTGCTTACTCTGAAGGGGTCCTAGCAGACAAAGAAGAGATTGGCGAAAGTAGCCGGCCGGTTTTGGTGGGCGGCTTTCGGTGGGCGCCCCCTCGAGAGATTGGCGAAAGTAGCCGGCCGATTTCGGTGGGCGGCTGTCGGTTGCCGCCCCCTGTATATTTTATGTTGTTGTTTCTCTCTCTCTCTCTCTTTCTCTCTCTCTCTCTCTCGGTCTCTCTCTCTCTCTCTTTTTCTCTCTCTCTCTCTCTCTCTCTCTCTCTCTCTCTCTATATATATATTTATATACATATATATACCTATATATATACATATACATTTATATACATGTATGTCTCTCTCTCTCTTTCTCTCTTTCGTGGTATATTTCTATATCACTGTTGTCGGTGGGCGCTCCCTCTCTCTCTCTCTTTGTTGTTTTTGGTTTCTCTCTCTCTCTCTCCCCATCTCTCTCTCTCTCTCTCTCTCTTTTTCTCTTTTGGTATCTCTCTATATCAGTCTCACTCTTACGTGATTCCCCGGTACGCAATGCATCATCTAATCGCTACGTCATGCAATCTCTCTCTCTCTCTCTCTTTCTCTCATTTACCTCGCCCTCTCCCTCTCTCTCACTCTCTCTTGGCATTTGGTCATATACGCCTCACTCTTTCATGCGCACTGCATGATCTAATCGTTATGTTTGATGCTTTTCTCAGTGGTGTGCAATATTTCTGTCTCTCATTCCCTTCTCTCTGTCTCTCTCTCTCTCTCCCTCTCTCTTTCTCTCTCTCTCTCTCTTTCTCTCTCTCCCTCTTTGATTGGGTTGTTTCCCAGGTGTAATGAAACTTTGAAGACGAGAGTACGCGGCGCTGAGGTGACAGCCACATTCTTACGACGGTTTGCCCTCTCATCCTCGCAGAGGTGGAGAACTGCAAGTTCCCAGGCCATGGACTGTGAGCAAGCCTGAAGCCACACGCCCAGCTCAGGACCGAGCAGGGCTGAAGCCCCTTGGAAGGGGCCCCCGAGGACGCAGGGGCTTGGGGCCGCCGGCACTTGCTCACCGGTGCCCCTCTCACTCCGGCGCCGCCCCCGACGACGTCCCCAGATCCCCCCGAGACATGAAAAAATCACGACAGAAGGTTTTTCGCTTTTTTCGGCTTCTGGGGGCCCTTACCAGGCCTCGGGACCGTCAAAAAACGCTGCAGGACGAAAAAACAGTCCCGGGGAAGGGGTCCAAACCTCTGGGGGCCGACGTTGAGAGAAAATTATGACATCGGGGGTTTGGGCCTCCGACGCTATTCCCCCCCTGGCCGACCTTTTTGCTCCAACGCCGCCGCTGGCTCCGCCCTCGACGAAGACCACGACGCCGTACAGTGGAGGCCCATGCCAAGGAACACCCTGCTTGCCTCCAGGGTGCCCTGGGTTTCTTAGGTTTCGATGGCTTTGCGATGGAAAGCGTGATGTTCCCACACCAAAAACCACTGGACGTCCTGAGGTCTCAGGGTTGGGTTTCTTGCGGAAGGTTTCTTGTGGTCGAGCCCCTACAGTCGGGCCGGACGAAACGGGGGAAGGGGGGGTTACGAAATCTGCTGCATGCGACTGGTTTCGGCCCCACCGAGGGGCCCGTTCCTCGATACATGGCCGCCTCCGGCGCCGGGAGGCGCCGGGAAAATCAGCCACGTGAGCTGATTCCCAAACTCCCCTTTGCTATCACCCCCTTTCGCCCAGCCCGATGCTGGGCCGCTCCGTCGCACCCTCGCGACGCACCCCCCCCTTCCTCCACGTGAGGGCCCGAGGGCCCGGCGCTCCCCGCACGGCACTATAGGGGAGAGGGGGGGGGGCCCCGGATGCGGCCCCGGAGGAGCGGGGAGTGCAAGGAGAGGGGATGAGGGCAAGCCAGGAGGAGGAGGAGGAGGAGGAGGAGGAGGAGGAGGGCGAGGGGGAGGATGAGCGGGAGGGCGAGGGGCGGTGAGGAGGGCGAGGGCGAGGAGGGCGAGGGCGAGACGGGGGCGAGGGGGGTGATGACAAGCTAGGTGCGATCGCGTCATATCTGACGTGCTACCCCTCCCTCCCATCCCTTACCATGGCGTAGATCTCCTCCCTGTTCGCACCATCGGAAGTCGCAGCACGGCATAGAGCCTCACATGGCATAGCATGGTGTCGAAGATCAACGCGTAGCATGACATAGCACGGCGTGACGCCCCAAGCTGGCGGCCCAAAAAATCAACGAATCGACACCGAATGTGTAATCATTTCCGATGGTTTTTTTCAGGGGGGCCATTTTCTAGATTTTGGGGCTTATTTGGAAGGACCGAAAAACATGCCAGGCCATGGCGCTGGAAATAATGACGCCAGCGCTGTAGCGGGAGCACGATTCGGAACGAGCGGAAGCGCGGAAATAAGGCCAGCGCTGCAGCGGGAGCACGATTCGGAATGAGCGGTGGCCCCCGAAAATGAGGCCAGCGCCTCAGCGAGAGCAGCATTTTGAAAACAAACAAAAAAAACGTTTCCCGGGAATCCTGCGTGTAAAAAACAATACGCGGAGGGGGGCCAGCCATTTCCCAGACGTCACCAGGGGAGAGGGGAGAGTAGTATTCATATTCTTTAATTATGGAGGAGCACGAGGGGGAGGAGCACGAGGGGGAGGAGGGGAGGAGTACGAGGGGGGGAGGAGGAGAGAGTGGAGCAGGGGGGAGGAGGAGGAAGAGGGGAGGAGGGGGATGAGGACGATGCTCAAAGAACAAGGGATTGCCTAATCAGAAGTATTGGAGCTCCGCGCGGATCTCTGGGATCGGCGCTGGGGTCCCCCTTGGCGGCGCCTCCAGCGCCCGTGCTCCGCGCGCAAGGGAGGGGGGCCCCGCGCCGATCTAAGGATCCCGCGCGGAGCTCCGAGAGTTTGTGTTTGTGCCGTTGCTTGTCTGTCTGACGAGGGGAGGAGGAGGAGAAGGGAGGAGGGGGAGGAGGAGGAGGAGGAGGATGAGGAGGAGGTGGAGGAGGAGGAGGACGAGGAGGAGGAGGAGGAGGACGAGGAGGACGAGGAGGACGAGGAGGAGGAGGAGGAGGAGGAAGAGGAGGAGGAGGAGGAGGAGGAGGAGGAGGAGGAGGAGGAGGAGGAGGAGGAGGAAGGAGGAGGAGGAGGAGGAGGAGGGGGGGAGGACGAGACCCTTGTCCGAAACAACACGCTGGCCGCGTTGCGCAGTCTCGGAACATAAACTTGTACCCCCACCTTCGCTCGTGTAAGAAAGAAAAGGTCAAGGCCAACTTGAGGTCGTTCCGAATCGGATATCACACCAGAAAGCAGATTGTGAAGGTCGCACGGCGGGTGCCGCCGACCCAGACGGACGACGACGACGACCACTACCACAACGACAACGATAACGACGAGTTGATGACCTTGCCACATGCTCGGGGCATGGAGCGGGCGGTGGAGGGAGGAGGAGGGGAAGGAGGAGCAGGAGGCGGAGAAGGAGAAGGACGAAGAGGAGCATGGGGATTGGGGAGGAGGAGAAGGAGGAGGAGGAGGAGGAGGCGAAGGGGGAGGAGGAGAAGGGAGGAGGGGAGGAGGAGGAGGAGGAGAGAGGAGGAGGAGGAGGACGACGACGAGGAGGACGACGAGGAGGACGACGAGGAGGACGACGAGGAGGACGACGAGGAGGAGGAGGGGAGGAGGAGGAGGAGGAGGAGGAGGAGGGGAAAGAGGAGAAGGAGAAAGAGGAGGAGGAGGAGAAGGAGGAGGGGAGGAGGAGGATGCTCTTGGGGGGGCATACCGCAGCGGTGTCATGCGCAACACGAGATGTACTTCACCATTCCACTATGTCACGTGAATCGTGAAACGCTTAAGTTCCCATGTAGTTGTTTCTACACTTTACATATTGTGTCATGCTACCGTCCGCATATGGCGGCCCTATTGAGTTGATCCGGTGTTGCAGATGGGTTGGGGGACGTCCAGGTTATGTTTGTTGGGGTTTCGCAGATGTTCTGAGGCATTGGCGTCGACGACAACAGCCATGCATCGATCAGCAAAGTGCTTGAGGGGGATGACTGGCTCTCGGCAGCATCGGTCGGGCACGACATTACCTCTCTTTGCAAACTCTTCCCTTGTTTGCTTTGCTTCGTATCCCTGCGGGCCTGGACGGGAGAAGGAGGAGAAGGACGACAGATGATACTGCGTTTGGCAAGTCTGAAGGCGTCGTGAACGACAGAGTTGTTGTCCCCCACCCGCCTCCTCGTGGGAGAGCGCAGAGGATCCGTTCTCCCACACGCATCCGAAGACGCGTGTCAATGCTAAGGTGCGCGTGTCTCATTGTGCGCGTGGTGCACCGTGGGCCGCCAAGGGCTCCCACGCCACCAGCCGAGGTCACCGAGGGACAGGCACTACGGCCATCTCGCGCCCCACGAGCGGCCATCGGCCGAAAGTCGCTCCGAACGGGCCCCCGGGCGCCCTCCGGGCCCTCCTTCTGACCAGTTCCCCAAAGCTGCGTCAAGCCGTGGCGGCGGGGGCGGCCCCCACGAGGGCCGAGGGTCCGAGGAGCGGCAGGCTGACGAGGACGAGGAGGGCGACGTTCCATGGGCGATCTTGCGCCCCACGGATCGTCGGTTCTCGTGCTCCACGGGCTTGGCAGGAGAAGGAGAGAGGAGGAGGAGGAGGAGGAGGAGGAGGAGGAGGAGGAGGCGTTCAGGAGGAGGAGGAGGAGGAGGAGAGAGAGGAGGAGGCGTTCAGGAGGAGGAGGAGGAGGAGGAGGAGGAGGAGGAGGAGGAGGAGGAGGAGGAGGAGGAGGAGAGAGGGGGAATGGGAGAGAGGCTTCCTGCTTCGTCCTTCACAGCGGGGGCGATGGCTCGTGCCAGGGCGACCCTAGCCACTTCTAGTTTTGAGCACACGCTGCCCTCAAAGGAGGGACCCGGGCTTTGCAGGGGAAGAGGATACGAAAGGAGAAGAGAGCAATGAGAGTGGGAGGGAGTGAGGAGGGAGAGCAGGGAGGGCAGAGAGAGAGGGAGAGAGCAGGGCGATGATGATGCCGCCCCAGCACGACGGCGCTCGTCGCGGCCTGACCGAGCCCCCGTTCGCCCCACCCCTCGCCCCGCCCCCCAAACCCTCAAGATGCGCACGGTTGGAGGGGCGTCGAGAGGTCTGTCCCCGTTTTCTTTCTTCTCGCCGTCGTCGATCTTCACAATCTCGGGAAACAAGCCATGACAGAATCATGAACGTTCGGAGGTCCGCGCTGATTTCTTGGATCGGCGTTGGATCCCCCCTCCCTGGCGCGCGGAGCATGCCAGGGGCGGCGCCAGAGGCGCCGCCAGGGGGCCCCAGCGCCGATCCGAGAATTCCGCGCGGACCTCCGAAAGTCTACGTTTATGCCATCGTTTGTCTCCATACAATCACAGTGTCCTGCCGAGGAGGCTGACCCACGTTGTCCAGACGCCGCTGGTCCAGTTCCACCCCTGCGGGCCGCGACGAGTGGCACACGCATTGAGCGCAGGCGTAGTTTTGATTGGCCCTTTAGCCAATCGGCCTGCAACCCAATGCACACCTGCGCCTAAGTTGGTGGGAGCGCTAGTGCGCAGGAAAGGAATGGGAGGGAGCGATATCTGAATAATCACGGTGAACCTGCACGTGTTTTCCGCCCACACCCCCGTGGAGTTGCACCGCACAATCGGGCGTTGTTTCGAATGTGGTGTTGGCGCGTTGGAGTTTGTGAAAGAGCGTTGTTTTTCACGTGCGTTTGGGCAGGGGGAGTCGTAATTCTCCTCCCTTCACCCCACAGTGCAAAGAATAATCCACCACCCCTTTCGGTGGAGCGGCGATTATCCAAGGACGTTTCTCTTCTGGAGTCGGGCCAGACATGTCGACGTGCGGTCCTACTGGAATCGGGCTTTTAGCACCAGGGAGGGGTCGACCCTCCCCCCACGCAGGGGGGGGGGTCCGCGCAGAGGGGGGGGTCGGCGCAGGGGGGCGGGCTCACATCTTTGCGCTGGGGGGGAGGGGTCAGGAGCCCCAGAACGATCGCCCACAATTCCACCAGAAGTGCGCCCTGCCTGCTCTGCTCTACAGCAGGCGGCCCAAAACAAGCGAACCGGTCCTGCCCTGCACCGTCCAGCACAACGAAAGTCCAGCCAGCTCGCGGCAGCACGAAACTCGGACGGTGCATCATGGTCAGGGAGCCATGCGTGAAGACCCCGCCTGCAGCGAAGCACCAAGGAGCGTCAGCGAGAGCTGGCGACGGAGAAGGAAGGGGAGAGGGAGGAGGAGGAGGAGGAGGAGGAGGAGGAGGAGGAGGAGGAGAGGAGGAGGAGGAAGAGGAGGAAGAGGAGGAGAGGAGGAGGAGGAGGGAGGAGGAGGAGGAGGAGGAGGAGGGGAGGGAGAGGAGGAGGGGGAGGAGGAGGAGGAGCAGGAGAAGCAGGAGAAGCAGGAGGAGGAGGGGGAGGTGGGGAGGAGGAGGAGGAGGAGGAGGAGGAGGGAGGAGGAGGAGGAGGAGGAGAGGAGGGGGAGGAGGAGGAGAGGGGGAGGAGGAGGGAGGAGGAGGGAGGAGGAGGAGGAG